CCTTTTTCCTGTAACATTTGTACCAAGAAGTTTACTCAAAAGAGTCATTTGACTTCTCATATAAGAACTCACACAGGTGAGAAGCCTTTTTCCTGTAACATTTGTACCAAGAAGTTTACTCAAAAGAGTCATTTGACTTCTCATATAAGAACTCACACAGGTGAGAAGCCTTTTTCCTGTAACATTTGTACCAAGAAGTTTACTCAAAAGAGTCATTTGACTTCTCATATGAGAATTCACACAGGTGAGAAGCCTTTTTCCTGTAACATTTGTCACAAGAAGTTTACTGTAAATAGTAGTTTGACTACTCACAAGAGAATTCATACTGGTGAGAAACCTTTTGAATGTCTGTCCTGTGGAAAAAGCTTTACTGAGAAATCTACTCTTGATCAACACATCAGAATTCACTCAGGTGAAAAGCCTTTTTCCTGTACTATTTGTCACAAGACCTTTACCGTAAAGAGTAATTTGACTTCTCATATGAGAATTCACACAGGTAGGAAACCTTTTGTTTGTCTGTTCTGCGGAAAAAGCTTCACTAAGAAAGCTACTCTTGATCAACACATCAGAATTCACACAGGTGAAAAGCCTTTTTCCTGTACTATTTGTAACAAGAATTTTACTGTAAAGAGTCATTTGACTTCTCATATGAGAATTCACACTGGTGATAAGCCTTTGTAATGTCTGTCCTATGGAAAAAGCTTCACTATAAAATATAATCTCAATAGACACATCCAAATTCACAGGTGAGAAGCCTTTTGAATGTGTTTCCTGTGGAAAAAAGCTTCACCAAAAAATCTTATCTTGATACACACCTCAGAATTCACACAGAAGAGAAGCCTTTTCCTGTACCATTTGTGGCAAAAGATTTACTCTAAAAAGTCTTTTAACTAGACAGGTAATTCACATGAGAGAGAGTGAGTAGCTGTTCCCCTTAATGATTTGTGACAAAGGTTTCAAACATTAAGGTATTTTGAGTATTTAGATTACATTTATTCATGCATGATGGGAAATGATTTACATCTTTAAAAAACAAACATTTGGTTCACATAAGTCGCAGCAGTTAGATGCCACAGGAATGAACAGTAGAGGCGGTTTCATATTTGTCTGGTGATAAAATGTCTATCTAAATACTCCACCTCATTTCATATGAAACTCACGTTTCGAAGAGCAGAAAACCATTGATTTACAGCTGTTTTTATATAGAAACTAGAACTGATAAGGTGTTATATTGTAAACCTGGTAGATATTGAGGTTGTGGGTGATTATGTGGATGTGAACATTTTAAGTTAATTATTTTGGGTCTGAGTTTATTGGATTTAAATGCCAAAAATTGTTGCCCTAAGAAAAAAAAAGGGTTTACATTTATGATTTCTTAATTACTATCTACTGAAGGGAATAAACACAATAAAGTGCAACAACAGCATCCTGGCTACAGATGAAGCAAGTTAGCATCCATACAACAAGCAATTGAGAAGTTCTAGATATTTAAATTGAAAAAAATCCAGACAGAGCCCTGCTGTGCCATCTTGACAGGGGCGTAGGATTGATTTTAACTTTGATAGAGACACTATTGGTCTGATGTCATTGGTCCTATGCAAAAATATGCATGCTTGTTTTTTTATGCTTGACGTGAAAATCAGGGTGTATTTCATTTAAAGAGAAAAGCAGCATTTCTTGCTACATTTATACAAATTTTATAAGCACTACACTAGATGCTGTTTATCAATGACTGATGCTTAACTGGCTCTGATGAATAAGGAATTAGGTCTTTTTTCCACTTTGAAAAGGTTTGCATTAGAAAGTACCAGCGACTAAGACATTAGGTAAATCTGTGCCTATTTAACAGAATGTAGTCTAAATATGTCTGTTATTTGTGGATTTATACTTTTTTTTTATTTTGAAGATATAGAATTGTGCAGATGTAAATAGAGGTAAAACCCACTCTTTTAAATCTTCTCTTTGTATCATGAAACAAAGCGAAATAAAAAATTCAAGGGAAACCAAATAAATGCATTGTATTTACATGTGCCCTGGAACTAGAAGAGGAACTGACACTGAGCATTTAATATATTAACCTCACTCTACAAGTTGTAAATCTAGGATTTATTTACTCTACCTAACCCATTTCATATATTTTATTTAGGGCTGAAACAATTGATTGGATTGATCAATTATTTAAATAATATTAAAAAATGTAGTGATCAATTAATCATTAACTGGAGTATAGAGACTCTAAAACATGTCTTTAGCTCACAGAGCAACCCACTTAGAGCAGAAATTATATCTGTCAATATTCTCCATCCAGAACTCCTCTACTGCTGCAACAATGCTGTGTTGTAAATTAAACATATTATTCACATGTAATTGTTGGTAGGGACAAATAGGTTGGTCCAAAATGTTGGTCCAACCTATTTGGTCCCTATGCAAACCTACGCCCATGCATCTTGACATAGTGTTGCACAACTTCTTCTGAATTAATTTTTTAAGAAAAAAAAATCTTTTATTTTTTAGACTAAGAAACTTTTAGCTTTTTAGAGGGCGCAAAAGGAGAGCACAGGTTACGGTTCACACTTTAAATTGTTTATTTTCTGTTCCTTTAGAAAGATCAGCAATGTTCCAGTTTTACCAGTTATATGTGAGAAGGGTCTGTGCAATTAGGGGGCACAGAGGAATAGGAGAGCTTCTTCTCTGTTACCGAGTGTTTTTTTATTTATTTATTTTAAATTTTTTTTATTAATTATTTTTTCTTCCTACTTTTTGAATGGTACAAGTTTTTTTTTTATTTTTTTTATTAATTTATTTTTTCCTACTTTTTAAATGGTACAAGGTTCTTTTACGGACAGGTATTCTGATGTCAGATTCATTTAAGTATGGGATATGACCCCTCCATATCTAAATATTGTGTCTTGGAATGTCAGAGGGCTGAGGAAATCAGTTAAAATCAAGCAAGTTTTAGCTAGGATTAAACATATTAAAGCCAAAATTGTGTATATCCAGGAAACACACCTACTATCGGATGAAATTATACGCATTAAAAGAAGATGGCCTGGGCAAGTTATTGCATCTTGTTTCTCCTCACAGGCTAGAGGAGTCGCAGTTCTTATCCATAAATCAGTTAGATAGAATTATCTTAGACCCAAGGGGCAGATTTGTTATAGTCAAGCGCTCTCTTACATTAAGAAATTATCCTGGCTAATATATCCCAACAGCGATGATGACTTATTTTTTAACAACTTGTTTATGACTGTGTCTTCTTATAAGGGAGATATAATAATGGGTGGCGATTTTAACTGCACGCTTAACCCCTATTTAGACAGATCAACAAGAGTGGATTCTTCTCAAACTCGCTCCCGCAAAACGATTGATCACTTTATGTCAGAGCTTAATCTTTGCGATATTTGGAGACATAGGAATCCTACAACTCAAGAATTTTCTTGTATCTCAAACACTTACTTGACTCAATCCCGTATCGATTATTTTTTAATCTCCAAAACACTGAAAGACTCAGTCTGTGACTCTTGACATAAAGGTATTATACTTTCTGACCATGCTCTCATATTTCTACATTACCGTTGTAATTCATACTCGAAAGGACAGTCATTGTGGCGACTTAGCACGAGGTGGCTACGCGACCAGAATTTTTTATAATATCTAGAAGATAATATTGATTTATTCTTCACTACAAACACCGATGAAACATCAGCCACTGTTAGGTGGGAAGCATTTAAAGCCTATATTAGAGGTCAGATGATATCCTACACGAGCCACATGTCTAATCGGATGCATCTCCTTATGACAGAACTAGAACACGACATTAAAGACATGGAAAAGAAATCCACCATTAATAATACCCCAGAGAATATACAGAGGCTTACGGAACTAAGAGCTAACTATAATGACCTAACAACTAACAAAGCACTATCAAAGATAACCAGACTGAATCAGAACTATTATGAACAGGGAGAATCATCAGGTAAACTTTTAGCCTGTTGCCTTAAAACTTTGAGCCAGGAAAAGGCTATTACCGAAATTGAAACTGAAAGAGGGATTACAACAAGTCCCTCAGAAATCAACGATGCATTTAGAAAATATTATATGAAACTCTATGCTTCAGAAGCTCAATATCCCAATGACCAGGACAAGTTCTTAGACGTCCTACCCATTCCACTCTTGGAAGATATGGCAAAGCAAAAACTAGACTCGCCCTTGTTAAAGTGAGAAGGATTTGTCCCCTTCAAAGTAAAGGCTGTAAC